TCTTGGATTTAAACTAGAGTCTCGTAAGTATATATGTATTCCAGTTTCAAAACGCGTTTCTTATATCTACCTATATTGTACTTAACGCGTTGGAGTGGGTAACCAACATTAGTCACTGACGGTTGTTATATCGAATGTTTTTCAGGGACGGTGAGTAGCTTCGGAGCGCGCTAGTGGATTCGTGGACTTAGTTTAGATAGTTCTAGCCTGGATGAGATGGCCTGCGTGCCTTGATTTGTATTTGGGTATTAGTTATGATTTATGCTTTATTAGTTAGTTTAGCTTGTGCATCTGAGTTCTCCAGCTCAGATGTGGCATAGCACCCCAACTACTATGTCTAGTTTATGCTCTGTTTGGGAATTAATAAAAGATTAGCCTTTATTTGATACGTTTTAAATATCTTGAAATTTAGGGGTGTTACAAAGACCACTATGCAAAAAAAGCATTCTTGATATCAAGCTAATGTAGAGGCCAATCATGAATGACATCCATTGAAATGAGTAACCCGACAGAAATCGCTTATCCATAATAGAAAAAGTGTCAGAATAATCAACTTCATAAGTTTGGGTATATCCCTTAGCCACAAGAGGGGTTTTCAATCGAGCAACAGAGCCATTGTAATTAACCTTGACGGTAAACACCCATTTACAACCAATAAGCCTTTATTTGCAGGCATAGCCACCAACTCCCAAATAACGTTACGATCCAAAGCATTCATATCGTCAATCATGGAATCTCACCACACAGGATGGGACAAGGCTTCTTTAACAGTTTTGGAATAGAAATAGAACCAAGGGAAGCAATGAAAGAACACGAGGCAAATGACATCCGATCATATGTCACAAAGGAAGATATATGACAAGGACAACTACGTTTACATTTTCGGAGAGCAATCAGATGGTCATCATCCAAGACTGGATCAAATGACACAGAGGTAGTTTTAGGGCATTGAGTTGGTATTGAGCCAGGAAGATAAGTAGAAGGTGGATCTGGAACATGTGCGTCAGCACGAGGTCGACAAGAATATACCTGTAAGACAGGATGAGTAGGAATAGAGGACGTGACCTGTATACATCAAGATGTCATCCCCCTTCCCTTGACGAATAGCATTTGGAGATGAAGGAAAGAAATGAACGTCCTCATGAAAGTAACATCAATGGAAACAAGGTAGCTACCAAGCTCAAGAGAGTAAGGCATGTAACCCTTTTGCAAACGAGAATATCCAAGAAATACACACTTTAAAGATTTTGGAACTAACTTGGTGACAGTGGGATAGACATCCTGAACAAAACATACCCAACCAAATACACGTGGGTTAACATGGAACAAAGGTTTTGATGGATACAGAATATGGTAAGGTATTTTCCCATCCAAAACCACAGAGCGCATGCGATTGATTAGGAAATAGGTTGTGGAAACAAAATCAACTCAAAATTTCTTGGGAACCCCTCTTTGAAACATCAAGGCTCCCGTATTTTCGAGCAGATGTCGATTTTTGCTCTCAGCCACCCCATTTTAGGAAGATGTGTCGACACAAGAGGACTGATGTAGCATACTTTTCTCATGCTATAAGAGGCAAAGGGGTACGAGAAATATTCTTTAGCATTGTTACTGCGTAAATGTTTTACATAAATCCCAAATTAAGTTTCAATTTCAGCACAAAACCCACGAAACACGTCAAATAGTTCATAACTATTAGGATTCTATGTATTTGAGTTAGCTTATGACTCAGATTGTGACTCCCTATCCTAGTCTCCCTATGATTCCGTCACTATATATATTCCTGATGGGGAATATACCCCGGGTTCAGGCTCCCCTTACGCTCCGTGCTCCTATTTGGGTCAGGTCAAATGGTCTGGGTCAAGGTCAAACCCGACTTGGTTGCACCTATATAAGGGAACCTGACCCTTCATTTAAGGAGTCTTTCCCCTCTTCCTCCCTAGACACAAACACACACTCTCTCTCTCTCTCTAAATGCTCTCCCTTCTCTCTACAAATATATCAATGATAATAAAAGAGATCCATTAGAGCTACTCCTTTTCTACCCTCTATATTGTTCATACACATACATACATACGGTACATACATCCTACTACGCTGGAATTACCCCTATCAATTCCAGTATTCTGTATCTTTGGATTAGTTTAATCAATACAATACATTCTGTTCTCATCTGGTATCAGTTAGCTAGGGTTAAATAATAATCTCCCTAAAAAATGTAACAAAATACTCTTTTTTTTTAAGGAAAATGTAACAAAATACTTATAACCAAATTTAGATGTTATAAAACACGGACCCCAAACATCACAATGTGTTAACTCAAAAATAACAAACGCTCGTTTCTTAACTCTAAGACTTAAATGCACACGATGGTGCTTACAAAACTCACAGGAATCAAAATGTAAAGAAGACAGACTCTGAATATGTGGAAACAATTTCTTCAATAAGGGAAGGGAAGGATGCCCCAAACAACGATGAGCTTCAACCGGAGTGACAGCACCTGTAACACCCCCGATTTTCATGCCATTTTAAAACATAAATACGTAACTAACAGATATCATAAACAAAAGCAACAGCGGAAGTCTAATATCAAAACAGGGAAAACCAAGGAGTGTTATGCCACATTCACCTCAACGTGAATGCACAGGCAAATCTAAAACCATCAATCTATTTGTTCAACAACTGTGGCACACAGGCCAAAACACTAACTACATTGTTCAAGGGATCTAAACTATCAACGGCTAACGCTCTCGCCATGTCTACTTAGGACCTGTAAAGCACATAAAGAAAGGGGACGACGTCCGGTCAGCGAATATTGCTGGTAACCCATCAATACGCGTTCAATAGTAAATATAGATAGTATAATACAAAATCATTTTCGAAACGGAATACAGTATATATCAGTTCAAACCGTAAAGAGAGAAGTCAACTGCAAAGACTCTATTTCACTCTCAAAAGAACAAGGGAATCAACATCCCAAAACAACATCAAGACAAGGACAACAACAGAACAACTCAACACCGCTCAAGATATAATCTACTGATCACAAAGTAGAAAACATCACGGCAAAGACAACGACAACAACAATTACAACTTGAGGCGTATTCTACTGATCACAAAGTAGAATACCACTCAACATGCTCATCGGAAGAGAATAGACATTCACACAATGGCACTACATGCCACAGTGACACTTCATGTCACAAGTTCCAAATTTCATCCTTATGCCCAGTTCCGACCTTATGACTACCCCCAACCTTATAACTAGTTCCAACCTTTACCTCCAGGACCCCTGTACTCCAAAGTCCAACCTTATGCCTCCGAGGACCGTCGTCCCCACTCCGACAATCTCCAACAATTCCACCAATTTCAAATTACACGAGGGTACCATTCATTTCAATCACACAACCACCAATCACATGAGCCTGAAGCCCAAATCACATGAGCCTGAAGCCCAATTTATAACTCCATTATCATTTCATGGCCACCACAAGGACCACATCTGTACCTTGGTGATTAATGTCCCATACCATTAATCGTGCAATCCAGGTACAGCCAACACACACATTCATCATAGGAATTAATCAATGGATCACAACAAAGATATGAAACCATACTCAATCAAGGAAGGACTACAATCCGACACCAAACAATGATCAACACAAGTTGTCATTCTCACAATGGAAGAACAAACTGCACACACTAGCATTTCAACATCAAACTAGCATGCTTATCAAACGGGTCAACCAAACATAGTTCCGAAGAACATACAAGACTCATCATGGTTCAATGAATCACAAAGTTGAACACTTAGCACGATTCAAGACACCAAATCCCACATGGAATCACCACATACAGTTCTAGACCTATGAAACATCAAGAAGACACTCAAATAGCCCAACAAAACAATATCGGGAAGTCAAAACCTCAATTATCGAGTCAAAAAAATCACGGGGAACAAATCCCCAACAACACCCATATGTGTTCCCCACGGGTGGGGCCACGGGTGAACCCCACCCGTGGTTCCGCCCGCGGGAACCAAAGCCACAACCACTCGTACCCCGCAGGTGGGGCGACGGGTGGTGCACTACCCGTCGTTCCACCCGCGGGTACACTATTGTCCCAAAAATAATCCCTTCGGGGATTTTCAACACCAAGTCCAAATTCAAGTCCAAAACACCCAAAATCTCACAAAATACAACAATATGACTTGAATCAAGGAAATAGCCAAGAAATGGCATACAAAAACCCTAATAACAAGCTCTAGATATGCATTCTCACAAGACAATGCATCAAATCTCACATTTCATAGCAAAAATCACAAGTAGAAGTCAAGAAATCATCATATAGGTAAGAAAATAGATTTTGTAAATCATGGGTTACCTCTTGTAGCTTAAACCTTCACTTTTCACACCCTTAAAGCTTCTCCTAAAGCTCTCCTTCAACTTCAACTTCAAGAACACACCGAAAGACCACAAACATTCTATCTTTTAGAAAATACACCTAAAAAGGTATTAAAAACACTAAGGAACCAAAGATCTTACCGTCCCCTATGCTCAAGGTCAAGAAAGTTTGAATCTTGGAGACCAACTTGAAGAATCTAGGATTGCCCAAACTTGGCTTGAAGAAGAAGCTAACAATTTTTCTAGAGAAAAGGTGGAGTTTTGTGTTTAGGGTGTAAAGGAAATGAAATGAAGAACGACTCTAGGTCAGCTTGTGACACAAACATAAGGTGAAAAGTCTTCTTTACCATTACTAAAATGAGAAGTGTAAGGATACAAGGGAACAATTCTTTAAGCCTAGAGTACAATTCCTTGACTTGGATTGATTAGTCAATTTCTAGTCCCCGACTATTGAATTTTCAGGATTTTAGGAATAAATTATCAATTAAGCTAGGATTAATTATCTAATTAATCCATAAATAGAATTTGGATTTACGGGGTGTCACAGCACCGGCATAAGCAACGGACTCCAGCCCCATGGTGTCAAGAATGTAGGGGCCCCTAGACCTATGCCTCATACCAATAACCCTCTTCGTCATAAGATCCTAATATGCCATGAAATAGCTTATAATTGTGCTCATTTATGCTTGTTTTTTGCTCAAATGTTAAGTAAAGGAAGGTGGAACATTGCTTAATTTGGTGTATTTTTTATTGAAGGAAGAAAAGATCAAGTAATGGTGCAAGCAAGCATAAAAAGGTGTTAATCTTGGAAGAAAACAAGGCACTATAGCGCAAGGAAAAAACCTGAGGGCATACTGGGAAACGAAGGAGTAAAATGGTAGCGCGAAGGCTAGCTGGAAGAACTCACGCTAGCACTCACACCATGAGTGTCAGCGTGAGTCAAAGACCAGGTTTTTGATCAGGTGACTCACGGTGTGAGTCCCAGTGTGAGTGTGTTGATCAGAAACTAATCCTTGAGCCTCACGCTGGGACTCACGGTGTGAGTGCCAAACTCACGGTGGGACTCACATCGTGACTCCTCGTGTAGTGGGCTACGGTTTGGCGCGAACTTTAGACTATAAATACCTTGGAGTGGTTATTTTGTATTTATCTTTTCAATTTCTGAATTCTTCCTCTAGATTTCTCTCCATAAACCCATCTTAGAACCCTTCTACATTGTAATCCATCATCTACTAGAAGATTTAGAGGAAGATTATCCATTGTAATTGCACATTCCACATCAATTTCCAGATTATTTCTTTCAATTAAATCATCAAGTTAGGTTCTCTATTTCATATTTTTGCATTTATATTTCTTGAAGTTTTGAATTCTATGTTTATTACTTCAATTGCTTCTAGTTTTACATTTCAATTATGAGTAGTTAAACATATCTAGAGATTTGAATTGAACTTCATTGTATGGATGCCAATGTGAATTGAATTGCATAAATTAGGTTTTGAATTGCCTTCATGCTGAACATGGTTATGAATTGGATGAAATTGAATTGACTATTTCATAGTTATGGCCAAATTATGCGAGAGATATTTTGAATTGGTGATTCACCTATGAGAATAGGGTTACATCATAGCTATATCTTTCATATTGTTTACTTTACTTTGAGAAAAGAGAGTTTGAAGGAAATGAGCACACAAAGTATTTGTTGAATTGCCTCATCTAGCCAAGTTGCCATGAGATTGGGACTTAGGATTAGTTGATAGTCCAATTGATCATGATAGTGACGTTGGCACTTACACCATTTTCCCAAGGTTGAAATTTGGAATTGCATAACTTAAACTTTAGACCACACAAGGTATTCTATGAAAGGTTGTTTGATTCAAATCATTCTTTCATCTATTATCTTTTAATTCACTTGTTTTCATTATAGGTTGTTTGAACATGCAATATTCAAATATCTATTTGTTAGCTTTCAAACATTGTATGAACCGTGTTTAACCCCTCATTAATTAAATTCCCTTAAAGTCATTCCTTGAGGACGATACTCATTAAGCATCACCACTAAAACCAACTTTCAGATCTTGAAACAGACAATGATCAGGGAAAAACGTAATAGAACAGCTTAAAGCTCGGTTAAGTTGGCTGACCGAAATCAAATTGAACGAGAAACTAGGCAAGTGCAATACATATGTCAATGAGGGCGTGGAGATTGGCGTAATGATACCAGACCCAAGTACATGAGAGGTGGATCCATCCGCTAAGGTGACGGTGGAACTATGTGGATGGGAAGAAAGCGTGGAAAATAGACTAGAATTACCAATCATATGATGTGTGGCACCCGAGTCTATGACCCATTTGGATGAGGATGAAAGAAGATATGTGGTTGTGTTACCTGAGTCAACAATAGAAGTGACCGAAGAGGATGAATGTTTTAGAGATTCTTGGTACTGGGAGAACTTGGCAAACTCATCAGTAGAGACCATGATCGACTTGGAAAATGCCTCAAGTGTAGATGCAACATTGGCAGATGAATTTCCTCGATTCCTCAACCACTTCCTATATTCCATCTTCATGTACCCAGGCTTATGGCAATAATGACACACAATACTGCTAGAAGTGTGCCCCTGAGAGTTTCTAGCATTCCCATTGTGTGGATGACAACCAACGAGAGCACTACTTGATGAGATGGTTACTTCATGCATACTTGGTTGCGATTGCTCCGATCAAATCAGTTGTGGGAGGACATCAGCCAAAGTAGGAATTTCAGAGTTACTAAGAATAGTTAACCTAGCTATGTCAAACTTAGAAGGGAGACCTGCCAAAAAACTCATAACAGCGAATTGTTCACATTGCTTTTGTTGCTCCTTAATGTCCGCAATGAATGGCATAAGATTATTAAGTGTCTCATATGTTTTCTTAAATTCTATAAAATAGGCAGCGAGAAACAAAAAAAATTTCTCTGCACAGTAAAAAGACTTGTAAACATCATAAATACAAGTGATATTCCCTTTCCCATAGTACAAGTACTCCAAATAATCCATCAAATCCTTAACGGAGGCACAATGACTAATCAACCCAACAATACTATTACTAATAGAATTCTGGATTCGCAGAAACAGACGTGCATCCTCCCGCACCCAAGAATTATCTTGTTCAGACAAAGTTTTAGTCAGGTGTTCTTCTTTACCCAAACTAGTGAGATAACGCTTAATGACCTGGGTCCACTCCAAGTAATTAGAATCATTAAGCTTACAGTCTGTTATTTTGGAAGTCATGGGAACGATATCAGTTACAACAAGATTTATTCTCAGCCATACCCACCAAAAACTGATTACACAGATCACAAAGTACACAAAAAATGGAGTCTGAATGTGTACGAGACAAACTTACCATAGAGCATAAGGAAATTGTCCAAACTAAGTCCAAAACTGAGGAGAAGGGACTCAGACAACCCAAATAATTTTCTAATGGCCAATAAGACAGCACACGCCGACGCGTGAGAGAAGGGCAGCGGACGGCGGCGATGCGTGCTCCTCACACGCTCGTTAGAATGGGCTCAAAACCTACCGACGCGGTCTCCAGACGGCGGCACTTCTTCCTAGGTCGACAGTGACGACAGCAAAAGCGAAAAAAATCCTTTATCGTAAAGGCTCATATGTCATGTTCAAAAGTTTAGAAAACTACCTCTGGTGTCTGGTAGCTCTCTGTCTCACACCTCTTAGAGGGAACACTCCACCCTTTAAATACAAGCTAGAGGATTTATTGTAACACCCCTAAAATTTAAAACTTTGAATGCTTATGAAATAAAGGTAATACTATCACTAAATCCCAAAACAGAGCATAACTAAACATAATTGTTGGGGTGCTATGCCACGTCTGAGCTGGAGAACTCAGACGCACAGGCTAATCTATCTAAACATCATAATTCCTCAAATCAATGTTAAGTACATCATCATGGCACGCAAGCCGATAAGGAACTAACTAGCTAAGCCTCAGGTCCTCTAGCGCGCTCCGGAGCTACTCATCTGTGTCTGAAAGCCAAATATATCTGTTCAGCGAATAATGCTAGTAACCCAATCTAACGCGTTAAAATACAATATAGGTATATATATATATATATATATATATATATATATATATATATATATATATATATATATATATATATATATATTATAAGGAAAACCATTTCGAAGCCGGAATACATATATACTTATGAAACTCTAATTTGAAATCGAGAATAGACTCAACAGGTAAGGGTAGGCACATTCGTCAGATATAATCACGCATATAAAGATATTATCATACATCCTAAGGTCACAAGACTATTTCACATCATTCATATCATTATATAATCATTATCTCAACACGTAAACACATTTGGTGGTGCCGCAGGACCAACCGCATGCCCATACATGAGGGTCGGCGCATATAGGTCTAACACGGCCCCGAAGCACCCTGCCTTGTACCACAGCACAAGGGGATTGATTGCAACCAATCAATGAACCGCAGCTCATTTATAACGTTTGATCGCAACCAAACGGTGGACCGCAGCCCGAATAGTATGTATATTTGATCGCAACCAGATTATGGACCGCAGCCCTTTATATATTCATATACCAAGAATATCACAATATGAAATCCACATTTTACCCCTAGGGCTCTAGTCATAATTAAAATACAAGATCATAATTTATCTTAAAATCAAGAACATCAAAATTATCACATAAGCATCAAGATCAACACATAAATATCAAGATCATCCCATAAACATCAAGATTATCTCATACACATAAAGATTATCTCATAATCATCATAGCAATCTCAAGAAAAGCCTTATCACGATGCAAACATAGAATCATATATCGAAGGAGCTAATGAAGGAGATTATAGCAAGGAAAATAGGTTTTGTTGAGACATGGGTTGTGTAACACCCCGTGTTACGACCCCTAACCCAAACCAATTATTTAATTACTTACCCTAAAAAGAGAATTAAAATCCATTAATTAACTAAGAAGGGTCCACCATAGTCCATGGACCTTTATCCCTAAAACCAACCCCTTAGTCCTATAAGGAATAGAATTAGCAAGCCCATACCATTTAGACCCTAATTGGGACTCTTGAATATATAAATAGGGGGCATAGGAGGCACCTAGAACCCACACCATAATAACTTTCACCACACAAGAATTCCCAAGAATTCCAATTGGAGAAATCATGAAAGAAGAGATCTTAAAGAAAGACCATTCATAGCCAAGGAATTTAATTAAGGCTAAGAGGTAACCCATGTCTTAACAAAACCTATTTTCTTTGCTATAATCTTCTTCTTTGGCTCCTTCTATATGCTTATGTCTTGATGAAATCTTCTATGATAATTATGATATGATCTTGTTAATTGATGAGATGATTTTATGTGTGATCCTGATGATTTTGATGATGATAAGAGGATCTTGATGATTGGGTGATATTCTTGATAAATCTTGATGTTTCTTGATATTAAAGATGAGCTATGATCTTGATGATTTAAATATGATTAGAGCCCTAGGTTGAATCGTGAATTTCGTATTGGGATATTCATGGTATATTTGGGTGGGAATTCACATGTTCGGGTGTTAATTATGTTTAGAAGTCATAATAAGTCGTGTTCTATGTGATTCTTGCTTTTGATCCGTTAATTGTCTACGTGGTGTCGTCATTTGCGTTTAAAAGTGTCTAGGCATGGTTTCGGGTTCCACGGAGGATCCCGGGACTTATATTTTGGAAAAGGAGTTAGTGGAGGGTAGGTGGGGGTAGGGGGACCCGCCACCTACCCGCTGCCCAAGGTAACGCCACCGGCAGCGGGCAGCTGGCGGGTGGCCTTCCACCCGCTGGATTCTTCCCACTTTGGGACTTTGGCTTCCCCGTTTGATGTTCCCCAACCCCCATGGTGTCCAAACAGACTCCGTTTGTCATGCATAACTCTAGTTTGATGTTCGGGTACCGTTAGTAGGATAAAAGAGTCTCGTGTATTGCGTGTTAGTTGAATCGGTAACCTGTTGGCCTAGGAGGAAGATGTATGAACCCCTTAGGACTATTCTTAGTATGTGGATAATCATGCATAAGTTTTATTTATAAGTTCCCCCCCCCCCTCCCCCCTCCCTATGTGTTAATGTGGGCTGCATGTGCTTGCTACGTGATATATGTGCATGACTCTTGGCTACGGTCAAACTAGTTACTCATGAGCTGCGGTTCAATATGCTGGCTGCGGTCAGTGACTTACTTCTAGGGCCGCGGTCCACCTCATTGGCCTCATGTGCTATGGTCCACCGACTGGACGCGTCAGGCGGTGTGTAGGGCCACTAGCCCGAGGAAGGCCATAGTCCACCGAATGAGTTGTCAGGCGGTGTGTAGGGCTATGGTCGGCTGCGATCCACCGAGTGTATGTGCCAACGGTGTGTAGGGTCATAGACCCCAAAGATCATAGTCCACCGAATGAGTCCCTCATGCGGTGTGTAGGGCTATGATCAGCTACAACCCACCGACTGATCTCATCAAGCGGTGTGTAGGGTCGCAGTCCCCAAAAGAGGATCACAGTCCACCGACTGAACGTGTCAGCGGTGTGCAGGGTTGTGATTCGCCGTTGAAACTATCGAAGGTCTATACAATTGGCTGCGGTCAATTCCTTCATGCTGCGGTATGAGGTAGGGTGCTGCGGGGCCGTGTTAGCGCTATACGCGCTAACCCTCATGTTTGGGGCATGCGATTGGTCCCGTGGCGCCAACAAAGTGTGCTTGTGTGACAAGGATATCGATCCTGGTTTTAAAGCTAGAGTCTCCTAAGTATATATCTTCCTGCTTCAAAATGGTTTTCCTATATATATATATATATATATATATATATATATATATATATATATATATATATATATATATATATATATATATATTTACCTATATTGTATTTTAACGCGTTAGAGTGGGTTACCAGCATCATTCGTTGAATAGATATGTTTGGCTTTCAGGCACAAATGATTAGCTCCCGGAGCGCGCTAGAAGAACTTGGATTAGATAGTTAGTCTTTCCTTTCGGCCTACGTGTCTTGATAATGTAATGACAATATTTGAGGATAGTAGTTAGAATAGCCTGTGCATCTGAGCTCTCCAGCACAGATGTGGCATAACACCCCCGACTCTATGATTAGAATGCTTCAGTTGTTATTTATTTAATAGAATTACTTTCGTATTATAAGATTAAAAAGTTTTAAAATTTCGGGGTGTTACAGGTTACCTCTTAGCCTTAATTAGGATCCTTGGCTACTACGGTTCTTTCTCTAAGATCTCATCTTCGTGATTTCTCCTATGTTTGGTGATAGGGGAATTCTTGGGAATTCTTGTGTAGTGGATTCTATTGTGGTGTGAACTCTAGGTGCCTCCTATGTCCTTATATATATATATATATATATATATATATATATATATATATATATATATATATATATATATATATATATATATATATATATATATATATATATATATATAAGAATCCTAACTGGGGTCTGAATGGTAGGGATTTACTTATTCTATTCCTTATAGGACTAAGGGTTTGGTTTAGGGATAAGGGTCCATTATCCATGGTGGACCCTTCTTAATTAATTAACGGAATTCAATTCTCTTTTAAGGGTAAGTAATTAAATAATTAGTTTGGTTTAGAGGCCATAACACGGGGTGTTACACCTTCCCCCCCCCCCCCCCCTAACGGAAAGCTTCGTCCCCGAAGCTTAGACATGTTGAGGTCGACCGTCCTTCTTTATCTTACGGGTTCGTCTTGGTTACCTTGTGTGAAGAGCTCGGGGTAGCGTTCCCTCATGACGTCTTTAAGTTCCCAGGTTGCCTCTTCGGTCCCGTGGTTGGACTAGAGGATCTTTACCATTTCTATGGTCCTTTGGCGAGTGGCCCTTGTCTTAGTGTCCAGGATCCTTACGGGTTTCTCTTCGTAAGTCAGTGTGTCGTCCAGGCTTACTGCCTTGGGTTGTAACACGTGACTTGCATCGTGTACGTATTTCTTCAGTTGTGATACGTGGAACACGTTGTGCACCCGTTCTAGTTCGGCGGGGAAGGCGAGGCCGTAGGCCAGGTTCCCGACTTTCTCTAAGATTTCGTAAGGACCAATGAATAGGGGACTGAGTTTCCCCTTC